TGTGGTTGGTGGACGGTGCGGTGCGGTTGGAACGAGGCGTGGGGAGGGTGGGGGGGTTGTGAATCATGCGGTATTTGTTATGTCAGGAGATGGGTGTGTGATGTGAGCTTGCGTTCTTGCTTGGTTGGTGAGGTGGGTGTTCAGATGGGTGGTTAGACGACTACGACCGCTTCGGAAGCTAGGTCTATGCGTTGCTTTGTATTACACTGCTCCACTCGAATCCTGCTCTTTATTGCCTCTCTCTTCTTGCAGCCTTCCTGAAATAAGCTGCTCCGATAGAATACTCCTTTGCTGGTTCAACTGCCTTTGCTCATCTACCGTCCCTTTTCTACGATTACCGTCTTACGAGCCCAAATCCTGGAATGGTATGGCTCCTATGGAGGTATGTTTGATTACTAGAGCGGTGTGCTTGTCTCTTCCTCTTTGGCGATACGCTGCTGGTCCTGTGCTTGAACTCTTGTCCTTTCGTTGTTTCCCCCACCGTCTCTTGTGCGTCGAAGGGAGGGTGCGAAATGAGACTTGAGATCTTACCTTGGGATACGGACGAGCTTGTTCTAACCTTGCGAGGAGCAATGATGAGGATGCTCGGCACTGTAGTACTCGTTTCCTCTCGCTTGGTGGTCGTGTCGTTTGTAGTACTTTTCCTCTCCCTTGAAGGTTGTGTCGCTGTCTTGCTCTCTTGCTCTTGTTCTTTCCTTTGGTTAGTAATCTCTTCTTGTCGGCCTCTCCTCCTCTCTACTGTTTGTTGTCCTTTCCTATTCTTAGGAGGGGATCTTCCTCCTGTGTCCTCTTCTTGCTCTGTTACCTCTTCCTCTTTCCCCCACTCCTCAGTCTCTTTCTTTTCTCTTGCCTTCCTCTTGTTTGATTGTGGAGAAGCCACACCCGTAGGCGTGGCCTGATTTGGCGGCGAGTTTTTTATCCTGGATGTCGATTCCCGCCAAAGGCTTGGGATTCAAACTAGGTAAGTGGGTGCGAGCCTGCCTGTGCTGTGCTTCGTGTGTGTGTTGACGCGGTGAAAAAATCCCGCAGGTCGAAAGCGCGGTAAACCGCAATGACGAGGGCGCACGGTTAGCGGCGTTTTCACAGCGCTATCCGGAACGGCGCTGGACCCGCAAACTCTCGATCTTTTTTTCTATCAGTTATAGATTGTGTTTTTAGCGTGGGGCCATTGTCAACCCCCGCTAGTGTCACATCGAGGGGGCAGGGTTATCGGTCCGTAACCGTCGCACAGGGCTGATTCCTGCCAGGGAAAACCTCCAGCCCGTTCCCCCCTGCACCCCCCCCCCCAGTCGGTTATCAGCTATGAGTTGTGTTAGTCGGGTATCAGCTATGAGTTGTGTTAGTTATGTGTTATGTGTTATTTGTAGTGGAGTTGAACCTGGGACCTCCAAGTTACAATATCAGAGCTCTACCCACGGAGCTATTGAGGTCATTTGTCTGTTAAGGTGCTATGCCAGGCTCAGGGCAAGTACGTGGGGTGCAATCTACACCAACCAATTGTGCTCGGGGGAAATTGCGGGTTGACAAAGTTGAACTTGCAACCTCCCCGGAGCTCTTTCCACTGAGCTACCACGCACTTGCTTTACCAACTGGCCGTCTCGAAGGTATGACGTCAAGCATGCCACAGGCAATATCGTGGGGGCAATGGGAGTTGAACCCATGACCTCCCGAGTGCCGCTTGAACGCCTTGCGAACTGAGCTCAGCCAGTGGTGAAAGTGCACAAGCACCAGCAGCGCTTTCACTTTCTCACGAATGAGCAAAGGACAGTTTCTTTTATTGACTTGGACCGGGCTTTGCTTCACTTGGCCTGTGCTTGACTGGTTATGGGTCTGAGGACTGGTATTTGTCACTCGCGGCCTGTTTGCTTTTGGAATATTGAGGCCCAGTACCTTCTATACTTTCTTGGTGCGCTGCTGCATTTTTGACTGAGTGGACTTGACTTGAGGCTGGGTACCAGCCGAATTTTGACCCTGTGGGGTACCCACACAACCATTTTCTGTTTCGGCCTTCTCGGCCTCTTTTGACATAGGGACCTTTGACCCAGGATTTCGAATTTGGGGCCTGCAGCGTGAAAACGGCCTTCCACCCCGTTCCCTTCCCTGTAGCGTCTCGAAGAGAACCAACATAATATAAGGTACGGGTGTGCTGAAAACCAGACGGGTGTGTATGCAGTCCACACTCAAGTACACAGATGTGGTGGTCCATGCGGCTCTCAAAATAGAATGGCTGTTTCATCGAAATATTACAATTATGAAAAGTTTCAAACCGTTGCAATTGTTTAAAATATATCATATCAGTTGATATAACTGGATAGCAGATTATGAAGCAAGGCTGTTTCAATTTTGGATCTACTCATGTGGGTGGAAAGGAGTCGTGCTGGTGACAGTCTATAAAACACGCATTTGTGGGTTTTGTGGTCCTTAGGCCCAGCCGATTGGGATTTGTATTTAGGTTGTATGTCTGGCACATCAACCTGCCTAAGCGGAAAGTTCATCTTGTTGCTATGTTATGGTTGGGTGATACAGGTTGAGCTATGTGGGTGCTGTTGGCACCTAACCTTCGGTGCTTCGGGTCAAAATTGACAAGCATTAAAGTTTTGGTAAAGCGACGAGTAGTTGTCCATGAGGAACCGTCAGATGAAGTGATCCACTTTAGGTATCTAGGAATTAATAACTGGAATTTCTTCCCGGATTCTCATATGGATGCCATTATTTCAGATTACCCCACATCAAATTATGATGACTGATATGGATCTCTGTTTGCTGTTGCCTGGTTGACTAGGGATCAGGAATCCATCAGGCTGTTGGGGCTCCGACTTATTGGCACAATTCTTACGGCAACACCTGTTGAAAAACGAGTTGGCCGAGTGAATACAGGGAGTAGCGGGGCATTGGCTGCCCTTGAGAGAATAAGAGGAACAGAGAAGGCTAGCATCTCGACCTTATTTGCAGCAATTGGAGAGAATATATCTTTCTTCCCTTTCACAGAAGCTCTAAGGACAACACTATTTGAACTGATGCTTGGTGGAGCTAGTCAAAAGCAGGTGTGTTTTCTCCCTCCTTCACTGTTGATTCTTGTTTCCTGGCTCTTCGGTTTTGTCCTCAATTTCTGTTGTTATAGAGACTGGGATGGTAAAGTAGTTTGGCACAGAGCAAAGAGTTCTATATATATTGTGTTTGGAGGAATAGCTCAACTACCTTAACGCATGAAACAGAGGGACTAAAGATATCAGAAAAGAGAAAAAAAGCATAACTACAGTGCCAGCAATTGCCCCCCAGGTTATTGTCAGTTCGTCTGTCTGACTACGCATATGCCTTGTGGGTACTTCCTGGTCATTTGGTAATCCGTAATCTGCCAGAGTACTGGACCTCTCTGAATAGGTTTTCCTTGCATTGGGCGTTCTGCCCATCCATCTAGAGTCTTACACAACTTCTACTAGGTAGTAGGTAGCCACATTCCAGGAGATTCCAAATATTTCTCTGAAGTACGTGATTTTTATGCTGGTGCATGGACCACTGAATGTGTGTGTGTGTGTGTGTGTGTGTGTTGTTTGCATTGCGTGGCTTCTGCGACCACGCCACAACATGTTGCGTCGAAGAGTGTGCTCAAGGCAAACTAAAAAGGCAAGAGTCGAGAAGCAGCCTGCAACAAGACAGACAAAAGAACAAACAGCAAAATAAACAAAGCGAAAAAAAAATAAAACATGAAAGATTGTTTCGTCGGAGTTGCACCGACTCATCAGGAGGCTGAACCCTCGACAATCTGAGGAATCTCCGTAGTTGATGGTTTGGGTCGTGAAACCTTGAAGTTTGAACCTTGTTGAAGGCAGACTGTCCCCAAGCGGAACATAGCAGCGGGCAGCAACCCTGTGGAGCACCAGGCAACACAGTAGAGGCAACACAGCTGCACAACGCCAAAAACAACTGCAAGGAACGACATGGCACACAGGGCATGCAGTGCGGCAACCATGTAGTGAAGCACAAGACAACAAAAACAAGGCAACACCACTGCAGGGAACGACAGGGCAAGCAGACCAGCAGGTCGGCAACCGTGGAGCGGAGCACAAGGCACCAGCAACAAGGCAACCAACCTACGGGGCACACAAGCCGCAAGCACGGACGGCATGACCCGCAGATGAGCAGCACGGCAGCGGAGCAGCGAAGCGCAAGGCAACACCAACAACACGGCCACACCGCACAGCGAACACATCAACCTGCAAAGAACCACATGCGAAGCAAGCGAGACAGGCAGCAGGGCAGCGGCGGAGCGCAGACGAGGACGTCCGCACATCCAACATGGAGCAAAGTAGCACATGACCTACTCACATCACGATTGAACCCCGCAGACTGTTGGTTCCCACCACCCACTGAGCCAGGGAGTCAGTCCGACGAACATCCGTCAGCACCGACAGGCAACACAGACATCCTGAACCGAGCAGCCCCCATAAGAGTGCAGTAGGCCACTCCAAATGAGGAACCACCTACTTAAGGGTGGTCAGTTGGGCACACAAAGAAAACTTGGGAAAAATCAAGGGGAGGATAGACAACAGAAGAAAGACCGACATATATAAAACTGATTTTGTGTGTGTGTGTGAAACGGTATTCACCTGTTAGCAGTAGCGGATGCAGGTCCCAGGGCTCGATCCCTAGTCCTCACTTTACCTGTGTACAGTATCAGTGTCGACCCCGAGTGTTTGAACCCGTGACCTGTGTTTTGAGAGTTGTTGTTGTCTGTCGTAGGTCTGTGTAATGGTAGGGGTCCGATCTGTAGATCTGTCAAGTAGGAGTCACGGCCCTGTGGAGGTCATAGCTGTAGGAATCCTGAAAGGTCAAGGTCGTAGCTGCTACAGTACTCGAAAGGCCAAGGTCGTAGCTGCTACAGTACTCGAAAGGCCAAGTCCACAGAGTTCCGGAAGGTCCGGAACTGGCCTTTCGAAGCTGCCTCACGTTTTAGTCAGCGGCAAGTGGGCAAGTGGTGAGCCCAGCTGCGATGGCAGTGCAGCTGCATTGAGTTGGCAGTGCAAACCCATGCAGTCAGCGGTACCGGTCCAGCAGTCCCAGTCCAGTCAAGCAAGTACCATGAGGGACTGTGTGCACCATAGGCCTGGTGGAGAGTGGCAGACCAACGAGTTACAGAAGTATAAATCAAGAGGCAGAGCCCAGCCATTCATTCATTCCTGCGTAAGCCATGCGGAAGCGCTGCTACAGCGACTTGTGCGAGGTGGTCTGCAGTAGGCCTGAAGACGAAGTCATTCATTCCTGCGTAAGCCATGCGGAAGCGCTGCTACATCGACTTGTGCGAGGTGGTCTGCAGTAGGCCCGAAGACGAAGTGGGCGAGAAGGAAGCTTAGCCATAGCGATAGGGTAGGTAGCGGCCATAGTCGCCATAGCTGATAGGAGAGAGAGTGGCGTGTGCGAGTCGCCATAGTCGCCATAGCTGGTAGGTAGCGGCCATAGTCGCCAATAATTCAAGAATACGAGCGCCCGCGCCAACCGGTTAGCGCAAAAAAGAGCGCAGCGCTAATTCACGCTAGCGCTCGGTGACGGCCCTCGGGCTGAAGCCATCCAACTCCCAACCACCGCCGCCCGCTCGCCCAGCCGCCCGAACGTACTGCCCGCCATTTTTTCGAATTCGAACCGTCCCAGCGCCGGCAGCCATCGCCACGAAGGGGCTATCAGCCCCGAGCAAGCGCGCGCCTGGCGCGCAAGCAAGGTACCACCATCGCCAGTGATGCGTCTTCGCCCTCCTCGGCCACAAGGGAGGGAGCGAACCACCCAACGCTGATGCGCGACGTGAGCGGGCGAGTAAGAATCGCCACTAACAAAGCGACGACAGCCCTCCATCGGCCATGGCAGGCAACCAGCCCATGCATGTCGAGAGGAGAGCTTGAGAGATCACCAACGTCCACCATCCTCGCTCAACCGTGAGAAACGAAGGCCAGCGACCGGTGAAATCGAAGACCAAGCCAGACCAGGACCTGCAGGACCTGCAGCCCCAACATCGAGTGAAGCTGCCAGCCATCTCTCCAAGCGAATCAAGTCATCCGACGGGTGACATCCAACTGACGGTCAGCCAACGTCAGGCCAGGAGGCGACCAAAGCCCCTAGCCAGGGACTCGACGAAGGAAGACCCAGCTCGTGCCAGCTGGCACCCTCCCCCATCAGCTCGACGGATCGGTCGCCACCGAGGAACCAGACGGACAACGCGGCAGTCGCTCACTCGAGCACCGAGTGAAGTGCATCGACCTACGACTAACACCACCACCCCTTCTCTCTATGCCCAATTCCCCTCCACTAACAAACTACCTCCTCCCCCCCCCCCCCCC